TATTAAATTTATTTGTGTCGAATTTCATCGCTACACTCGTATTTTTAAGGCATTAATGAGCGTTGCAGTCATTTTCTGAAGGGGACCTTTGTTTGTGTCGAATTTCATCGCTACACTCGTATTTTTAAGCCATTAATGAGCGTTAAAGTCATTTTCTGAAGGGGACCTTATATGGGGAGTAGGGTCAATTATGGACCGATCCTCATAAAATTTTGCATAGTGATTGTGGATCATAAGAAACTTACTTACGTCGAATTTCATCGCTATATTCGTATTTTTAAACAAGTTATGGCTGTTAAAGCTGCTTTTCGAGGGGCCACTTGTATGGGGGCTATCCGAAAACGTGGACCGATATTACCCATTTTCAATACCAAACAAACCTTACCTATAGGAAATATTTATGTGAAATTTCAACCTTCTAGCTCTTTCCATTGGGACACTATCGTGCTTTCAACAGACAGACAGACGGACGGACAGACATGGCTAGATCGTCTTAGAATATATATACTTTTGTGGGTCTATGACCAATATTTCGATGTGTTACAAACGGAATGACAAAATCAATATACCCCCCATCTTTTTGATGGTGGGTATAAAAACCGTTAACTGTAAATGAAGATAAATGTTTGTAAAGCAAAGTAGTATGTATATTACGGGCGTATACAGTGAGTGTTAAAGAAAGTGTAACGGATCATTGTTTTTTATAAACAAATCTTTCGCTCTTCACGAAAGCATGTCTGATAAAATTATTGAAAATTTATATACCGAAGATATCTGGGGTCTTTAGAAAATTGATGTCAATAAGCATACAGGCGGGCAGACAAAGTTCCAGCTAGAAACTTGACAGCTGTATACTGATCTTTACTATTTTTAAAACCAAAAAAAAAGATAACCTGATTTAAAATGTATTAAAGAAACAATACAATTACCCCTAACACTCACTGTACTGATATGAATTTGTTTAAATAGACTCCAACTAAAAATTTTCATTAAACGACTTTATTAAAAAAAAAAAAAACACCTTTCAAAATGCAAACATAGTTTCCAATAAATAACAACTCAATTGCAAAGTGAAAAGAAATTAAGAAAACATTTTTTTTTCGTCATATTTGGTTTAAACTATGTTGATTGCACTGCCTATTATTTATGGATTTTAAAGTGGGTAAACTTAATTTTTTGTTAAAAACTATGAACAAATAAATTACAACAACATACTATATTCTCAAGCTATTTAATTAAAAATAAAAATCAGAAATTTTAGAAAAAAAAAAATAGCAAATGTTGTGAAAAATAAAGTAGCTGGACCATTGATTGAATTGTCAACTAACCAATAATAACAATATATTATATGTACAGTGAATCAACTAAGTTTTTTGCCTACCTTTTTTTATGAGAATTTTGTTTTTTGTTCATAAATAAAATTCAAAAAAACAGGTAAAAAGTAAATTTATGTTTTCCAATTGAAAATAGAGATTGTGAAGAATGGAAAAACCAAGAAAAAATATTAAAATAAAAATTTTGGTGCATTTGTTGTTGCATTTTATTATTTTTCATCAGAATTTGCACGTCAATAAAGTAATTTGCATATTGAAATTTCCAGTTAATTTCGTTGGGTTTTTCAAATTATTTTTTAATTGCTTTTTGGAATTTATTGTTTAATTGTTAAAAGGACACGTGTTAAGTATTTTTTAATTGTAATTTTCAAAAATCATATCCTTATTGTGTGAAACTGTGTAGTTATTTGCGTTAAAAATGTTTAAAGGGAAATAATGAGGCAATTCCAATATAAAAAATTAGATTAGATTTTTAGAACAAGTATAAATAAATGAAATTCAATTATGAGATGTTTAATCAATCATTACAAAATATAAAATATAGAAATTGATGAAATAACACAAAGAATTATTTAAAAAACGCACTAAGTTGTCTTTCAAAATCTTTAAATGCCAAAGGAGAGCGACTTGTATCCAAGCAAAAACCATTGAAGCCCTCATTTATCTTCTCCAAAGTCCATATACGAACTTAAAAGAACACTATGTTTAAATTTAGACCTCTAAACAGACCTTAGGTTGCTTGGAAACAATATAAAGTGAACTATCGTGTGGTACGGGAAAAATACTTAATTTAGATATTTACAAATAGAGGCGGTTCTCATCACCTAAGATCCACAAAAGCAATATTTTTCAGCTAATACATACACTTATATATAGTTAGAACCCAAATCAAGAATAACTAGCCAAATCCAACTACGCCTACTGTATTTTATTCATAAAATAATGCATTCAAAATATGAGGTAGAATATCAAAATTCTAGCATGTAATAGTTCTATAATGGTATACGGTGATATCCCCATACTTAGAGTGGCTAGGATGGTACTTAGTGTTAGCTTTATTGAATAAGAATCAATATTATACAATTCTAAATAAAATTCACACAGTACTCCCCAAATAGATGGGGTTTCCGCAATGTAGTTTTTGTTTATCAATACAAAATGACCAAAAACCCAGATTATTTTTGTTATAATCTATAGATTTATACCCCACTAATATTTTTTTCTAGGTCCAAATCCATTGATTTCCTAATATATCATGTATCCAATTCAAAATTACTTATTATTTTCGAAATTAAATCAAAGAAACGATAGATTTCATGTTAAGTCAAATATTGAAAAATTCTTATAGGTATATAAGATAATAAATCGGTTAAGAAATGTCCAAACTTGGTCGTTCCACTACTAAAATATCTAAAAAATTTTATTCTAATATATAGGAGTAATAAAAATATTAAATTTTATAAAATAATGCAGCAATATTAAAAAAATGAACAAAACACCTAAAAAAGCAAAATACTTAATTGACCTTAAAAATTAACAATACGTTCACATTTTATCAAAAATCTCGTTAATTAATATCACGATTTTACTTTTTATGGTAGAAAATTAAAATATAAGATATTCTTTAAAAAATACAACAAGCAAATTGCTTTATTTTGCTAAAAATAATTGTTCAGATAAAGTTTTTTCTTAAAATTTATAAAATTTTACATAGGCAAATTACTTAATTGATTCACTGTATGTATATGTACAAGAGTCCCGTTACTGACTGATTGATCTTCGCACGGTCTAAACAATTGAACTTAGAATCTTGATATTTTAACAGTAGATGTATGAATTTTTGATCATGTAGATTCAAATGATATCCTCTTAAACGTTTGTGATCCAAATTTCGTTTTAATTTAACTTCAGTAATGATAGCGAAGTTACCAGGGTAAGCTAGCTTCCAATAAATTTAAAATTGATGTATAGACTTGTGGTAAAAATAGATTAAAATGTATTTTTATTTTATAAAAAAAAGCTTCTATAGAGTCTGTCATAGTGCTTGTTAAAAGTATAGCACATTCGCCTTACTTTACATTTTATCATATCTTACAGTTTACAATATTTAAAGTTTTCAAATTAAAACTATTTTTGCTGAGCTGTCGCCAATATTTACTAAACATAGAATTATATTAATAAACATTTTTAACAACTTGTATTTATTAATTTATATCAATTTCAACATGATATTTTTTTTCTTTTCGAACAGCTTAACAAATTAATTAAAAAATTTTCCTTTTTTAAAATTATGATTTTAATTGAATATAAGCTATTAAAAATAAACCTCTACAACCGGTTGTGAGATTTTTCGGAAAAACCCCTCATAGTACAAAGATAAACATTTGAAAAAAAAAAACAAACTTAAACGTTTGTTAAGGATTTCAAAAATGAAGTACTTATTCATTCATTTAGTTGATAGTTTTGAAAACACTTTAGAGTTAAATTTTTATTATGATGCGTGGTTTTGTATTGCATTTAAAAGCTGTCAATTTGTTGTTTACATTTTAACGCGCAATTACCTTGCACTTGTATATAATTTTCTTTTTCGAAATTGTTGCAAGCGCCAAAGATTTGTTTGTCTGGTTGTTTGTTTGCTGTTGCAAAGCGATTCGTAAACGTTTGGTACCGGTTTCTTTCTTCAAACGGGATAGATGTTTATTTTGTTTTTTTTATGTTGTCATTTTAGATAGCGGTACATTTTAAATGTTCGCATTTTAACCCTGTGTTGAGCAAGGGAGTCAAATAAGCCGATATTACAATAGATTATAGTGTCGACTACAGTGTGGACTGTACAGTGTCTACTATACATGTCGACTTTATAGTCAACTATAACGTCAACTACAGAGTCGACTATAACGTCGACTATAATGTCGACTATGAAGTCGACTATAATGTCGACTATAAAGTCGACTATAATGTCGACTATAAAGTCGACTATAATGTCGACTATAGAGTCGACTATAATGTCGACTAGAGAGTCGACTATAATGTCGACATTAGAGTCGACTATAGAGTCGACTATAATGTCGACTATAAAGCTGACTAAAGAATAGACTTAATGTCGACTATAAAGCCGACTATAGATTCGACTATAAATTAGAATACAATGTCAACTATAGGGTCGACTATAACGTCGACTATAATGTCAACATATAGTTGACTATAATGTCAACATAGAGTCGACCATATAGTCGACTATAATGTCGATTATAGAGTCAACTATAATGTCGACTATAGAGTCGATTATAATGTCGACTATAGCATCGACTATAATGTCAACTATAAAGTCGACTATAATGTCGACTATAATGTCGGCTATAGAGTCGATTATAATGTCGGCTATAGAGTCGCCTATAGAGTCGACTATAGCATCGACTATAATGTCGACTATAATGTCGGCTATAATGTCGACTATAATGTCGGCTATAAAGCCGACTATAATGTCGGCTATAGAGTCGCCTATAGAGTCGACTATAATGTCGGCTATAGAGTCGCCTATAGAGTCGGCTATAGCATCGACTATAAAGTCGACTATAATGTCGGCTATAGAGTCGACTATAATAACGGCTATAGAGTCGCCTATAGAGTCGACTATAATGTCGACTATAATGTCGTCTATAGAGTCGACTATAATGTCGACTATAGAGTCGACTATAATGTCGACTATAGCATCGACTATAATGTCGACTATAAAGTCGACTATAATGACGACTATAATGTCGGCTATAGAGTCGACTATAATGTCGGCTATAGAGTCGCCTATAGAGTCGACTATAATGTCGCCTATAGCGCCAACTACAATGTCGCCTATAACGCCGACTATAAAATCTATTATAGAGATAAAGACTCGACTATAGTGTCTACTATAGAGAACACTATATTGCCGTCTAAATAGTCGACTATAGAGTCAACTAAAATATCGTCTTAGAGTCAATTATAAAGTTTACATATAGTGTCTACTAAAGGATCAACAATACATTCGACTATAAACGTGAATATAAAGTAGGCTCTAGAGTCGACTAACAAGATGCAGCACGGTTTTCCGTTCGACTCCAAATCCTCCCATCTTTTCAAAACACTAATTCTTTAACAAAAACACCTAGTAAATTACATAACAGAGGGTTAATTTAAATGACAATAGGCGATTGAAGCGTTAAAATAGAAGTGACGTATTATGCCACAATGGCGTATACGTAATATCATTTGGGGTCTTTGACAACAAAAAAATAATAAAAACTGTTGCAAAGTAAGCTAACTGTTAGCGAGCTACATGTGCTCGTAAATAAAGTTAAATGGTGGCAAAAGTCGACAAGAGTTTAAAAGAGTTCGTTAGACTGGGAATTTAAAAAAAAAGAAAGAAAAACATTTCATTTTTTGTTAAATGTTGTAACAGCTTCAGAGAAAACAGCTGCAGCAGCAATAGTACAAAAAAAAAAACACCTCAACAACATATCACAACAACAACAAGATAGACAGCAACAGACAGCTAACAACAATAGCAGCAATAAGAGCTTGCTAAGCATGTACTACAACTACAACTTACTAACTTTTTACTACATCTGTATGTACAATATGTACATTTATTTTATTTTAAGCCAAAAGCCAGTAAAATTGTATTGTACATTATTTGTGTGATGATGTTTGTCTTTATGAATCCGAATTAGTTTGTTTGATCGTCGATTTTTTCATTTTTGGCTGGGGGTATAAATCGAATCTGGATTCGAACCATAATCACAGTCAAAGCCAATACGTCTTAGAGCAACGTACTCTAAGCCCAAAAAGCAGTTAAACCAAAAAAAAAAATATAAAATAATAAATTAATTAAAAGAAAACTAAACTAAATAAAAGAAAAATCGCGTGTTAAGGAAATATTCCAGTGGAATCTATAACACATATTTAACATAATAGAAAGTTAAATTTAGCAAAAAAAAAAAAAAAAACAACAAACAATATGATGAAATTCATTGTAAGGAAGTGTTTTGCATTTTTATATTTTTGATAGTAATGAATTAATGAATGAATGCATAGTAATAAAGTGAAGTGTTTCTTTTTAATGCAATTTTCTTTTTGGTTAAAATTTTAGATTCTGTGCTCTTTTATTGTGGCCGCTACCGCTGCCTTAAAAATCCATGATTATCATGGTCATGGTGGTCATCAAGAATACGAACACATTGAATATGCCAAACATGAAGAACCCGAACATACCGAAGAAACAGAACTTCATCATGAAGTTGAACACAAACATGCCACATCACACCAAAGTGTTAAGTTGCACCACTATCATGCTGTGCCCGTGTACATCAAGAAGGAAGATCAACATTTGGTCAAGAAACCCATTGAAATTGGAGGCACTAAACAAAAATTGAAACTTCTCCATCCCGAAACTGAAAAGAACCATAATCATGGTTTAGTTTTGGAAGAACACAGTGAATCGAAATTCCATGAACATGGTCACTACGAAGAACCCAAACACTATGAACATTATCATCATCATGAATAAATTGTAATTGAAAAAAAAAAAAAACACAAATTAGAAATAATGTTCCTTCTTGAGTTTAGCAGCAGCAAGAGGAAAAAGATCTAAATATCTAGCTACAAAATTGCCAAATTATTCCCTAATGTTCTAGAGTTTGAAATATATATATAAGACTATAATTATTGCTAAAAATAATATACCTTAATTTTTGTTGTAAAATATACATGTAAATATGTATGTAAATGCATATTGTGTAATTAATTTAAGTTTTTCCTTGTAATTTTTTTTAATAAATAAAATAATTTAAAAAAAGAAATGCAAATTAGTTTCACTGTGTCTGCCATGAAATTGGCAAAAAAAATATTTATTGTATTAAAAACCCATAAACCTACATAATACATATATATATACATATGTATTATGTATGTAGATAACAAACATATGCAGGAAAAGTAACAGGTGAACAGAAATGCAATATCATGCAATAGCTTGGAAATGCTTTTTATTTAAATACAAAATATGTGCGTGATTATGTGCTATATAAGAGGTATTCACTCTTCAAAGCAGACATCAGAAGAAGTAGAAGGAAAGCTTTTCCTTGCTTAAACATATTAGAGTTCTATATTCTTATAGAGCACCTTTCACCATAGTGTTATACATATGTATTTTATTCTCTAAAACAATACTTTGTGTGTTTGATTCAAAAAGTACTAGTTGAAGAACGAATCATAGATGAATCAAACAACTTTATGGATCGATCAATAGCAACTGAACCTCAGTTGAATTGTCTGTTGCCAAAATGAAATTACAGATGGATACTGGCAACCGACAGCTGTTAATTTCAGTTGCCAAATTGGCAATTAGAAATTTGTAGTTGCTGAGAGATGGGTTTTGAAGCAAATTTGTGGAATTTTTATCAATTTTATGCTTAAATAGTGTTGATGCATGGGGTCCGTGTTATTTTTAAGATATACATATTATATTGAGTTTATACATTTCCAGAAGCTTTTTAAATTGACTTACCTTGACTTTTGAAATAAGAATCAGAAATCAGAATCCTAAGAACTCCAGATATCCTTAAACTAACCCGAACTATGGCATGACTTGGGGATTTAAATTTAGGTTCTGCAGAGCACATTATGTATCTGTTATAGCCAAGCCTGCAGCTCTATAAATTGAAGTGGTTGGGTTATCATTTCCATCGCTGGTTTATAGCCTCAATGGAGTGGATGCGTGTATACACTTCAGAACACTTCACTTCTGAATTTATTTAATATTTTTTCACAATTGAACTTTAATTTAAAATTCTATTCATATTTTTTATTGTTTGTTTACATTTTTTTTTATTCTGTCAAAATAGCAACAGATGACACAATATCGATAACCTTTTGGCAACTAACGAAAGTTGTGCTGACTGCTCTGTAAAGGCCCAAATAGACTACACAAGCGGCTTATCAAACATACTTCTTGCATTCGCACACACACTACACAAACATTGCTCGTACAAACACCGATTTTTTCACGTTTTTGTGGACTTTCAAAGATACAGATCTCAATTTTTCTTAGAAATGTAAATTTTTTGAAAAATTTGTTATTAATGAATATAAACCATACAAATGGTTTGACAAAAATTCAATATGTTTGTGTAAAAATCAAAATTTTTAAATTTTTGTACAAACAAACAGCAACCATTTGTACAAACACGAAACACCCTCATACACTACACAACAGGCTTGCATAATCGTTAAATATTGGTATGTTTGTCAAGCCGTTTGTGTAGTAGGGTTCTATAGTTGAAACAAAAAGTCGACTTTTCGACTTTTTGCATTTAGTTAAAAGTCGACTTTTCGACCTTTCGACTTTTTCCTTTTTATGAAAAGTCGATTTTTCGACTTTTCGACCTTTTCCGACTTTTCGACTTTTTCCGACCTTTTTCGACTTTTTCCGACTTTTTTCGACTTTTTTCGACTTTTCGACTTTTTTCAACTTTTTCCGACTTTTTTCAACTTTTCGACTTTTTCCGACTTTTCGATTTTTTACGACTTTTTGACTATTTTCGACTTATTTCGACTTTTTTTCGACTTTTTTCGACTATTATTTACTTTTTTCGAGTTTTTCCGACTATTTTAGAGTTTTTGACCTCTTTTCCACTTTTTTAAAATTTTCGACTATTTTCGACTTTTCGACTTTTCGACTTTTTCCGACTTTTCGACTTTTTCCGACTTTTCGACTTTTTTGGACTTATCGACTTTTTTCGACTTTTCGACTTTCCGACTTTTCGACTTTTTTCGACTTTTATTTACAAAGTCGACTTTTCGACTTTTTCATAGACGATAGTCGAGTTATCGACTTTTTTGGAACAAAATAGTCGACTTCGACTTTTCGACTTTTTTCGACAAAAAGTCGATTGTTCGATTATTCGAAAGTCGATTTATAGAACCCTATTGTGTAGTCTATTTGGGCCTTAACTCAATTGAAGTTTGGTTGGTAAAGGATCCATTAGGATCCTATATGTATGATTTTATGTTTCTAGATACAATAATTCAGAATATCAAAAAAGTACTGCGTATGTAATTTTGTGTTTCTAGGTTCATTTTAAGAATTAAAAGTACCAAAAAATTCAATCGTTTAGATTTTCATTCCATCAGGAATTTTTCTAGTTGTAATATTGGGGAAAAAGCAAAAATTAACAGTTGAAGAAAAAGAACCAAAAATGGTTTCCAACAGATTTTCATTCTCTCACTCCGAATGTTTAATTTTATGTTTCCAAATTTGAAGGTCGAAAAGTACCGGTCTCTACATGCTTAATTTCCTGTTTCTGGGTTTAATATTATGGAAAACTCAGAAAGTAACAGTGAAAGAAAGAAAAAGCAACAGAATCACTTTCTGAGTCGATTTAATTATGACCGACTGTCTGTATGTGTCCATATAAACCATGTGATCACATGCTACAGGTCGCAATTTTCTGGATAATTTGATGATATTTCACATTTACTCTTCTTATGAGCCACGGACGAAGCATATGGTTAAAATCGGTTAAGTATTTATTCTTTCCCATCCCTGTTTAATTTTCCATACACAATTTTCCCCCTCTGCTCTTGGCAATAACAAAACAATAACAACACACAACCTAATACTTAAATTATTGTTGTTTTTAAAATCTAATACCAAATCTAGTTTCAACAATCTTCAACTAATCGTTCTTAAATACTAAAATAATTTCGTTTTTATTTTATTTTATTACAAAAAATTAAAAATAATTTAATTAAAAGCTTTTTATAAAATAAATTATGTGGCCTTTTTTCTATTAAAATTATACAAAAATTAACAAAAGTGTTTCTAATAAAAAAAAAATTATGTTTCATAAATGAATTTTTGTACCTAATTAAATACAAATATGTAACATATTTATATATAAAAAAAATGGTTTTTATTGAGAATAAAAAACAATTGCAAATTGCTCATCAAAACTAAACATGCTTAAAGTATAATTACAAAAATATAAATAAATAATTATTATAATAAAATATAACAAAAAAATTATAAATATTAAAATATAAAAACAAAAACATTTTCATATTTCAAATTCTATATTCATTTATACATTTTATGTATAATATAAATAAAATAATAAATATAATACTAATAAAAAAACAACATCAAAAACTTATTAAAAATTGTTTTTTTTTTTTTTTTTTTTTTCTTAAAAAAGGTAAGTATTTAATAACTCTATAGAGCAAACTTTGAAATAAAACTCCTAGTTTTTATGAATTTTTAAATATTATTTATAATTTTTATTTCCGCTTCGGTATAATTTATAATTTTTTTAGTGTTTTTTTCTTTTTTTTGTTCCATTCTTTTATTTTATTATTAAATTATTCATATTATTTTGGTTTCATTTTGTTTAGTATTTTTAATTTAAATTAATTACTAGTTAGCTTTACCTTGTGTGTTTAAAGAGTAAATGTTGGTTTTTTTTAATATAAAAAATCTTAAAACTGTTTATATTTAATATTAATTTAAAAAAAATTAATTTATTTTATCTTTACAAAAATTAAAAAAAAAAATATTTAACAAAAAATTTTTTAATTAAATTAATCTTTAAAAATAATAAAATTGAACACAAGAAATTTACATATTTTTTTAATAAAAAAATTAAATATTTTGAAAATTTGTATGGAAAAAGGATGTTGGTATCGGGGTTTTTAAATATAATTGTCTAATTCACAATCGGCGTCGTTGTGCTGTACTAGAACTAGAACTGAACTAGAATTAGAATTTGAACTGAACTAGAACTAAACTAGAAATGAACTAGAAGTGAACTAGAACTGAACTAAACTAGAACTGAACTAGAACTGAACTAGAACTGCACTAGAACTGAACTAGAACTGAACTAGAACTGCACTAGAACTGAACTAGAACTGAACTAGAACTGAACTAGAACTGAACTAGAACTGAACTAGAACTGAACTAGAACTGAACTAGAACTAGAACTGAACTAGAACTGAACTAGAACTGAACTAGAACTGAACTAGAACTGAACTAGAACTGAACTAGAACTGAACTAGAACTAAACTAGAACTGAACTAGAACTGAACTAGAACTGAACTAGAACTGAACTAGAACTAAACTAGAAATGAACTAGAAGTGAACTAGAACTGAACAAGAACTGAACTAGAACTAAACTGGAACTGAACTAGAACTGCACTAGAACTGAACTAGAACTGAACTAGAACTGAACTAGAACTGCACTAGAACTGAACTAGAACTGAACTAGAAGTCAACTAGAACTGAACTAGAACTGAACTAGAACTGAACAAGAACTGAACTATAACTGAACTATAACTGAACTAGAACAGAACTAGAACTGAACTAGAACTGAACTAGAACTGAACTAGAACTGAACTAGAACTGAACTAGAACTGAACTAGAACTGAACTAGAACTGAACTAGAACTGAACTAGAACTGAACTAGAACTGAACTAGAACTGAACTAGAACTGAACTAGAACTGAACTAGAACTGAACTAGAACTGAACTAGAACTGAACTAGAACTGAACTAGAACTGAACTAGAACTTAACTAGAACTTAACTAGAACTTAACTAGAACTGAACTAGAACTGAACTAGAACTAGAACTAGAAAAGAACTAGAACTGAACTAGAACTGAACTAGAACTGAACTAGAACTGAACTAGAACTGAACTAGAACTGAACTAGAACTGAACTAGAACTGAAACTAGAACTGAACTAGAACTGAACTAGAACTGAACTAGAACTGAACTAGAACTGAACTAGAACTGAACTGAACTGAACTAGAACTGAACTAGAACTGAACTAGAACTGAACTAGAACGAACTAGACTAACTAGAACTGAACTAGAACTGAACTGAACTTGAACTAGAACTGAACTAGAACTGAACTAGAACTGACTAGAACTGAACTAGAAACTGAACTAGAACTGAACTAGAAACTGAACTAGAATGAACTAGAACTGAACTAGAACTGAACTAGAACTGAACTAGAACTGAACTAGAACTGAACTAGAACTGAACTAGAACTGAACTAGAACTGAACTAGAACTAGAACTGAACTAGAACTGAACTAGAACTGAACTGAACTGAACTAGAACTGAACTAGAACTAGAACTGAACTAGAACTAGAACTGAACTAGAACTGAACTAGAACTGAAATACTGAACTAGAATCGATAGAACTGAACTAGAACTAGAACTAGAACTAGAACTAGAAACTAGAACTGAACTAGAACTGAACTAGAACTGAACTAGAACTGAACTAGAACTGAACTAGAACTGAACTAGAACTGAACTAGAACTGAACTAGAACTGAACTAGAACTGAACTAGAACTGAACTAGAACTGAACTAGAACTGAACTAGAACTGAACTAGAACTGAACTAGAACTGAACTAGAACTGAACTAGAACTGAACTAGAACTGAACTAGAACTGAACTAGAACTGAACTAGAACTGAACTAGAACTGAACTAGAACTGAACTACTAGAACTGAACTAGAACTGAACTAGAACTGAACTAGAACTGAACTAGAACTGAACTAGAATTGAACTAGAACTGAACTAGAACTGAACTAGAACTGAACTAGAACTGAACTAGAACTGAACTAGGACTGAACTAGAACTGAACTAGAACTGAACTAGAACTGAACTAGAACTGAACTAGAACTGAACTAGAACAAGAACTATAACTGAATTAGAACTGAACTAGAACTGAACTAGAACTGAACTAGAATTGAACTAGAACTGAACTAGAACTGAAATGAAAACTAATACACAGACTAGTATCTAGATATTTTTAACACTAAACCCAGTAATTTATGAAGGGAAATTTCCATTATTCTTCATTCTAAGCTAAAAATGTGTCCATTCTTCAATGTACACCCAAAACAAAAAACTAAAGTCCTTAAAATTTTCTTCTAAAAACAAAATTTCAAATATGTACGTACGTATTTATATGCTTTTGCAATTATATTAAAAAAGTATGTAATTGTAAACAAATTTGTTGTTAAAGCAGCTTTTTCTTTAAATAAAAAACATTACTTTACTGAGTATATAATTAATGTATATTAAAGTTATTTAAAAATCAGTTTTTTTATTATTTTCATATAAATTTTCAATAATTGGCCTT